ATCTATGTTTCATTGTTTTGTTCATAAGTATTCATGCTTAATCTACAGTTTCTATCGTATGTATCTTACAGGATATATTCATACGTATTAAACATGTCATATAAATGTGTATTACTTTTCAGTTGCTTGGCTTATCAAAGTCATTGAAAGTCAGTAACTGTATGCTTCAGGTTATGTACTGTCTATAATAATTTGTCTATGATGATGTTGAGAAGGTTGTATTTGAATGTATTCAACACTATACTACAACTGTGTGCACCCAACATCTATTCACGAAAGGCATTTCAAAATTTATGCTTCAGGTTTTTACGTATGTACTCAACTTGATGTATGTATTTTACTTACTCAGGTTATATGTATTTATTGAATTTGTTATATTATAGCTGAGTATATAGTTGTATTCCGATTTATTTTGATTAGTTATGTATATACAACATATGCACTGTCTATAATAATTTGTCTAAGATGATGTTGAGAAGGTTGTATTTAATGAATGTATTCAACACTATACTACAACTAAATGTATCCATCATCTATTCACGAAAGGCATTTCAAAATTTATTACTTCACAATGTCATCAGAAGTAATGACAAATCGTTGGAGCACTAATACATGTCAGAGTGTTAACTAAATCCTACGTGGAGCATTTCTACACGTTCGCTTGTTATATCCTCCCTGCCCATATATGCTACATGAATGTTGATTTTTTGGCTGCAGCAATTCACCGAAAGGTTTATCGCGCTTCTTCTTTGGCCTTCAAGGAGGTCTTTTCCATTTGGGTGGTAATACAACTTCCTCTACAACATGTGCTGGTATGTTCCAGTCATTTCTGTCCGGTAGCGGGATCACAGGCACATCGTATGTCATTACAACAGAATTTGGTTTGTAATAGTTAGAGCAATAATCTTCTGGCATTAGAAACTTGCTCCTCAATACAGCCCAAGCATGTGGGCATGGTAATTCATCAACTTGGAACCTCCCACAAATGCATTTTCTCTCTAACAGGCAGACGATGTAATGCCTTCCTCCATCGTTAACCGTATGTAAGTATTCAGTCGATGGTATCACCTACATTTAAACATAGACTTATAAGTTTTGAGCACATACAAATGAATTTCTTTATGTATAATGCTGAATTATTCAGTTAAATACAACTGGAATATTTGAATACAGAATAATACATCATATATGTAGATAGGCTGACTATAAACTAAAATTACGTCTTAGCTTATGAATACATCTAAATAAAATACATCAAACATCTGCTTAACTTTAGGCAGCTGAAAAGAAAATACATCGGAATATATTTAAATACATGTTGTTATTCAAGACTAATGAGGCAACTAGATACATAGTACTGATATACATCTGTTGGTTACAATTACTGTGAAGTTTTAAAATACATTTGAATACAGTAAAATACATTTGAATCAGTAAAATACAGCTGTATAAGAATAATGATGCCATTTAAAAAAAAATTATAAGGCTACTGCATGACAATACAACTGAATACGTATGTCTAAAAAATTCTGTATAAGTTATTTTAGAAAACAATTAAGCTATCTAAAGAAATAGCTTAATATATGATACAATGACATTAAAATGAAACTTACAGCCATGCGTGTAGACATTGCCTCATTCAAAGTCAGCATCTCTTGGTATTTTTTTCCAAGAGTTGTGTATGTCTGTGTAGCTTCTTTGCGGTTACTGCAATTCCAACGTCCAAACATCTTCCTAACTTCTTCGAGGAAGTCGTATATTGACAATTCCCTTGGTGATACTAGTGCGGCATTGATTGACTCAGCAATATTTGACGTCATGGTCCATCCCCTGTTAACATGTGCATACAACCTAGCCCACTTTTCTTATCCAGCTAACTCCAAGTATTCTTTCACCCTAATATCTACCGTCTCCAACTTCTCCATCAGACTGTCAAATTCAGCTTGTGTGTATGCTTTTGCCATCGAGAAGTATATCTCGCTCAACTTTGCATGGCTCCTTTTGAATTTCTTATATACGTTGTTCCATAGATGCCATATACAGGCAAAATGCGGTACATCTGGATACACTCTCGATACAGATTTAATGATACTCTCATTTCTATCTGAAACGATGCACATGTTTTCCCTGTCACCGTATGCTATCTTGAATTGCTCAAAGAACCACGTCCAAGCAGCATCTTTCTCTAAATCAATAACACCATATGCTTGTGGCAATATATGGCTTGTAAAGACATTTGAATATATATTTTTAAAACATGTATTTCAATCTTCAAATTATTAACAGAATTAAAATATTAATAGAATTAACATAATTTATTATAATTCACGTACTCACCTGCACCATCCAACGTGCTTGCCGAGACGAATGTCCCGGTGTAGCAAGATTTTAGGTGACTTCCATCGACAACCACAATGGGTCTACAATGATCAAACCCCTTTATAAAGGCATACAAAGATATATACACATACATGAACTTATTTTTGGTTGATTTTACCATTTTAATGTGCGAACCTGGATATGTCTTATCCATTGTATATAAGTATCTTGGTAGTTTTTTGTATGAATCAGCCGGTTCACCTCTCAAAAAATTCATTGCCTTTTCTTTAGCCCGCCACGCCAATATGTAGCTAACATCAACACCTAAATCTGATTTCACATCATCAATAATATCCTTTGGGGTGTATTTCCTCTTATGATTAGTAAGCTTAGGCCTAATCATACCACCTATAAGGCTGCTACTTGCCTGTCGCTGCTCATACACCTTGTCTTTAAGCGGACATGTACGGTTATCAATAAACTCTCTCACTTTGACTAGTTCTGATTTGTTAATGCTCGAAGCCTTAAACTTCCATTCACAATCTTCTGACATACATATTAATGCATAGCTGCAAAGAATTTATCATTATACGTATGGTTAGCATAAATGTTTATCCAAAAAATGCACTCATATACACATGAATACATCCTGACATCTATGTATATAAATTATTATACAACTGAATACAATTACAGTTATATGCATTTAAATACAATGAATACAACTGAATACAACTATAGTTATAGGCATACAATTAAATACAAACAGTAAAAAAAATAGGGAAATAATTAGAGTCACCGTAATATAATTATACCAGTAAAATTCATATGAATACATATATTTAAAGACCATAAACAACCAGACACATCAGTGAAGATCAACTCAAAATCCAGAGATACGCATAAATACATCAACGTATAACTTACAACTCCAACCAATAATACAATATACAAAAAAAAAAAAAAATTAAATACACTCAAACCTGACAGAATTAGACCTATCAACCTGGAATTGAAACCTTTGAGATATAGCATAATTCTCCACCACCTCTTTCAATGTAGCCTTATCCTTATATACTTGGCCAACCATAACCTCCCTTTGATTAGTTTTTGAAATTATCAAATCCTTGTCCAGTTCAAACACCCCAATTGCTTCTCCTGAATTGACAAAATCTAGAGCAAGCGTATCATCTGTACCGGAATCATACATTTGAAGTGATTCGTCTATTTGCACAATATCGCCTTGAATTAAACTACCACCGGATACAAGTTCTTTTTTAATCGTTGTTATGCACAAAGGNAAGTGAACTGGGTACAGAAAAAAGGGAGAACTGAAATTTAGATGTTGCTCTGGTTTTCGCTATTTTTCTTCTTGAATCGTGATGGAAGAATACATATTTATGGGCAATAGTTTGTGTTAGTTGAGTTAAATTAGGAGAATATCAGGTGAATTGATTCCCTTTCCGTTTTAAACAAGTTCACCCTTCCATATTATACGCGAAATACGTTACTGTTTTCACGCTAATAACGCCTGAATACATCTGAATACATCTCAAGCTTAGCTGGATTCCCAAAATTCACGCCTATTTTTGCTATTGTATTCATGAATACAATAGCTTAAATACATCAAATACATCTAATAACCACATAAAAGGTATCTATAATCCGTAATATAGCAAAAGGTATCTATAAATGGCTAATTACACCTAAAAGATGGTGCTTTATGAAAAATTTTCTTAATAAATTGGCGGGTTATTGATCCGCCCAAAAATTATTTGGGGTAAGATGGGCTGGGTCAAGAGGGCTAAAATTTGGGTCATAGCCCAACCAGCTCAACTCTTACCAAACTTTAATTAATGTATGTTACTTTCTAATAAATTGTTTGATTATCACAAAGACTTTTTTTCTTTTGTTACGGTCATATATAACAAAATCAAACAAAAAAAAAAATTATTTTAATGATAATTTGACAAAGCTACTCATGGATCAATTTGTGCTAAAGATCAACACAACTTTAGATGGATTGAGATGAATTTGGTAATGAACTGAGTTCAACGAATGGGCGGGTCAATAACCAGCCCAACCTTGGACGGGTTGGATGGGTTAAATGAGTTTGAAGGAGGCAAAATCGGCCAAAACATTTGTTGAATAGATATACTGTGTTACCAGTTATCTCAGATTTGTAACAATAGCCATTTTCCTTGCAAATAGTTATTGAACGCCCTTGTAAATCTTGAATGAAAAGCTCAATGACTGATTATTTAGGTTTTTTTGGAGCTCAATGTACAGTTTGAAGAGCGTAGTACATTGACTTTCAGCTGTCGCTTTCCTTTTTCCATGTTCAGAAGGGAATGGTGATTGGTGATGGCAAAAAGACCACATATTGAATACATTTTTGTTTTTCTTTTCTTGAAAGCGCATATAAACTACATAAAATTCACATGCAAAGACATATTGTATAAAAATTATATGAAAAGTGTATTTAAATTTTATGTTATTGTAGTTGTATTAAATTTGTCATAATATTATATGAAAATTGTAGATAAGTTATAAATAAATTGTATATTGTATGATCAGTTGTATGAAATTTGTATTTAATTTGTATGTTGTTGTATCAAATTTGTATGCTGCTATAGATGTACCAAATTTGTTCAAATTTGTGCGATATTTGTATTTTTATTTGTATGCTATTGTACCATATATTCTTCTTTTCTTGCACGATTTGCTAAAGAAAAAAATAGCCAAAATGATTTCCAAATTGACTCATGTTGCACTGGTTCGTGTTGTTTGAATTGAAAACTTGGGGTGGAGAAATTTCAAGTTCCACCATTGAAAGCGTCATTGGTTCTCTTTTAGAAATCGAATTTCATCCGAGATTTGAAATTTGTGTGAGAGATCAAATGGGTAACATAGTTTCTTGTTAGAAATATTAATACAAAGTTTAATCGTAAGTTTGGAGGCGATTGAATCTAATTTGCTAAGGCTTGGGGCCGTGTCAAATTTCGAAGTCAATTTCTGCAAAGAAAATGATTGTGGTCTTTTTGAAAAAAATTGCCCCTAACGTCAACTTTTCGGCCCACTCATATCCTCGAAACTAGCGGCCCTATTTTGATTAAGAAATTTTTTTATTACTATTATGTGTTAAGTTCCTATTGGCTTAAATTAAAATCTCATCCCAAATCCACTTATTAGCCCACTCCATGACCAGAAATATCCATACTCGACCCATGACCTGCTTTTTAAAATGCCCTAACTTCACTTCTCAACTTCTCCTCTTCCATCCCTGACCTCCCACTCTGCATTTTCTCTAATCATTCTCCTCCTTAGCCAAAGTTCAATAACTCACCATTGCCGATAGAGGACCACCGTCGGCTCCAACTTTTAGATCTTCACCCTTCAACACCCACAGATCTCCCTCCCCCACTCAGATTTTTCAGCCTTAATTTAATTTTTAAATTAACATTTTTTTAAATGAGTGAAGCATGTATTCTTTTTAATTAAATTACTGGTTTATTTTAAGATTTTATGGTTTAATTAGTTATCTTTTTGCCTAAGTTATATTTGTTGTGATACCGTAGCTTTTTGAAGTTAATTCGAAATCATGTGAGTAAATTAGCTTCACAGTTCGTTGCCGGTGATTTGGTTGGTAATTGTCGAAGGTTATTAAGTTGGGAAAGATGAATATGGAAAGGGATAGGTACCCAATAATAAATTAATAGGAAGAAAAATATGAAATTTTGGTAAATGAAAGCAAAAAATGATTGGATCATGAGTCAGGTATAGAATCGAGTGTTTGAGAGGCTAAAAAGGATTTAACGGGTTGGATCGACTAAGATGGATCGTGGGTGGATTATTTACGGATCAGATCTAGGTTATAGTAGGATTCTTAATTTTGGCCAATAAGCAATTGCCACGTCATATATAATAAAATAATTTTTATTCAGCAAAGGTCCGTGAGAAATAAGGGCATGAATGAGCCAGATTTATAACGGTAAGGGAAGTTTTTACAAAGTAGGTGGACGAAAGGTATCTTTAAACCTAAGCGAATAGGTAAGGGTCAATTTTAGCCCTTTTTCGTTTGTAAAGACTAAAATTGGGGGTTCCTCAAGCTTGAGAGAATTATATTCAAAAAACCATGGATAATATGGCCGGTTAACTCATTTTCTATACGTATTAAATATGGTTGGATCGGATAATCTATTTTTACATTATCCATTTTTAACTCGCCCATATTCGACGCGACCCGCATACTTGCCACCCCTAATAGTTTGATTGGAATTATATATGTACTGGAGACTTTGAGGTGTTTCAGGTGTATCCAAACATAACCCAAGATCTCCTTATAAATATATTGAACATGCAAGATAATATACTGGACACTAATTCTATGCAAATCACTTCATTAAAAACATGACTTCTTCCTCCCTCACTTGCTTACCAAATATTAAAGAATGTACATTATATTATTATAAGTAAATATAGACGAGTGCTCAAAAGTAAACAAATGTAAGATAAGCAAATAAAGCCATAGCCATGGAGGACCATCCAAAGGAGGTAGTTGATGATGATGAGCTGTTGCTTCTTCGCGCAGCACGAGCTGCTGGGACCAATGTGGTAGTTGCACCAGAACTACTAGCTCGACGAGCGACGGTAGGTGTTAGAAGGAGGCACATGATGATAGAAAGCACAAGCACAATCTTCATAATGTTCTTCATAGTTTTTCTGCTCAGATATATATGTACTGGTCGGATTTAAGAATATATAATGACAGAGTAAAAAATACTTCACTACAAGAAAGTGAGGATACGACGACATTTATTAAATGTCATGTTAAGCTTCTTAAATGTCGCAAATTCGTTTATCGACATTTATTTTACATTTGTATCAAATGTCGTAAATTTCAATGTCGTTTATTTTTCGACACTTAAGTAAATGTCGGTAAAAAATTTACGACATGTAGTTTACGACATTTAAGTAAATGTCGATAAGTTACGATATTTATTTTACGATATTTAGGTAAATGTCAGTAAGAAATTTACGACATTTACTTTTAACCTTTAAAAATGTCAGTAAGAAAATTTACGACATTTATGAAAATGTTGTATTTACATTTACATAAATGTCAAAAACGATTAGTGACTTTTTTCAAAACTTTTCAAAATGTCGTATAAAAAGTTACAACATTTAGATTAATGTCGGTACCAAAAATTTTAAAATATTAATAATAATCCTCTATTTAGTTTTATCATAACACTTTATATTCAATTTGTACATCCACAAATGTCAACCTTCAACAAAATAAAATATATGTAAAACAAATGCCTTTTAATACTTAAAAAATAAATTAGCAATCTAAAAAGTATTTTGTACAAATAGATGATGCCAAATCAAATGATTTATTCTCTAAGTAAAATTCAAATCCAACTAAATCATAAAAGACAGTAATTTCAACATGTAACTACGTTATTATCACTTTCGAATGAATTCTCTTCACTTCTAGACTAAATCCTGCAACAAAGCTTTTTGAAACCACCTCTCCATTAGTCAAGGTTTATTGCCAGTAATTCTCCTTCAAAATGCTGCACAAAAAATCATACAGAAAAAACAATTATAACTATATAATAAAAGGAATTCTTTCCTCTTCGATTATAACAAATTGAGATGCGAAAAAACAACAGAATGGGATTCTAAAAAACAAACATACTGTATAATGAATATAATAGCAGCAGCTGAGAGGAAAGAAAGAAAATAAGGCAAAAGAAAAGAGAGAAAAAGTATCTTGAATTTTTCATACTTACCCATTTTTTTATGTGTACTTCACTAAATCCAATCTTCTTGATTGTATTAACCCGAGAAGAAATATTATATTGGTTACTTTGATAGTTTACAAAAGTGAAATAGAATACAAGATATAAAATAAGATAAAACCTCATAATAATTTTTATTTTATGAAAGATACTTTATGAAGTATAGCTAAGGTAGCTTCAGACAACCTTTCCTCCATCTAAGTTTTTATAGCAGAGGTAGCTTTTTGAACTTCTACCTCAACCCTTTTATCAAAATCTCTTTGCTCAGCCTGAGATTGTTTACATACTAAGCCATAAACAGAACTTGGAGCTGCTCCTTTTCCTAGAATTCGAATAATCCAATGAGTGTCCGGTCCCATAACTTGTGCATACACATTATTGGGAGCACTTCCAGAGACATTTAACTCAAGGACATACCTTAGCAAGTAAATTCATTTCTTTCTCTTTTTTTTTTGGAAAGGACAGTAAAATAGTGAAAAGTTATAATTTGTAATGCAATGAAAGTACCTTTATATATATAAAGAATAGGAATTTACCATTACTTCACCAGCTATCTCATTTATTGGTTGTTCATTCTTTCTCATATATGTTCTTGTGAATACTTCAATACGACTTGGTTTTACACCATCCTTCTTTGTCATCTGGTTAAATAGGAAAAAGGTGTATAAAAAATATTCAAGAAAATAATAATTGATATATAAATTAC